AATGCACGCTTGCAGAAAACACTCTTGCTTGACGAATATTAGTGACCAAGCAGAATAACATATGCTCTAACAGTCCACGTCAATTTGTCAAACTTGAAGGAAACCTACCAACAAACAAGCTAACTGATAGCGGCAACACCAAACTGGTAGGTTCTGCGTTGAGTGTGGAAGAAGGACAATAAGACTTTAACTATGCAGTGCAGATGCATTATTGAAATTAAGAGAATTTGGACAAATTAATATTCATAATTCATATTTGAAATAAAAAGGACTAAGTAGCAGTTTATTTGCTTACATCGTTTTATTTAATTTAGCTCGCCAAAAATTGTTTTTATGCATTGACTACTTTTTTTTGGGGGGGGGAGGGATTAAATTTTGTTTTTCAGCATAAAAATGTAATATCCACAGTACGTGAATATTTATATTATATGTGAAAAATTAATGCACTTGCTGGTTCAATGTTTTAATAATTTAGAATTGTTAACGTGTCTTAAATAAAAGCACAACTATTTTGCAATTAAATGCAGTTACAAATGCAACACAGACTCTTTTTATCCAGGCCCAAGACTAAAGCAGAATGAATAAGAGAAAAAATGTGAAGATAAAAGAATACAAGAATGCTGAAATCATTAGAGCTTCAAGAGAAAATTGCCGAATAATAAAATAATAGCGAAACAAAGATTTTAAAGAATTTCGCTCATCATATATTACTTCCAGACTTTTCCAAAAATTTTTAGGGTAATTGACATTTGCAAGAACACGTTTCAAAGAATTTGGATAACCAGTCTTTCGATAATCGAACCTTTGCGTTATAGTCAAATCATGTTTTTCTTCTTAATCGGACGAGTGTATTCCAACTACATTGTAAAGAAAATAAAGGATGTAAAAAATAAACTTCCTAAGCCAAAATTCTGCACGCATTTATGAACCTTGAAAGAGAATATAAAAGTCAACTTTTTATCTAAACAAATTTTAGAATTCCTTCAGAAAACTGTTATGGGAAAGCCAATTTCGCATATTTCTAAAAACATTAAATTTATTTCTAGAATCTTCCATCAAACGTTCGACATGATTTTCCACACTTTTTAGAAAGAAGTAAGGAACAACAACAACAGCGCATATTATATTATATAATATATATATATAAAAGAAATAAACAGCCGATGTAAGAATATATGCATCTGAAAAGTTTCAAACGATTGAAAACGAATATGTATAAATTGGAAGGGCTACCTCAATGTTTGAGATAGATAAATTTAATCATCACCTCAAGATAGCTATTGATAAGCAGAACTAATTCAAATTCACATTGCTAATAAATCGAGAAATTAGATTGCATTTAATCAATTGCGAAACAATACAGTAACTTAATAATTAAATCGATTTATCATTTAATCGATCAATATGGTAATTTATTGCATAAATTCATTTCTATGATATCCTATGGAATAGTATTAAATTAGACAAGACGTTTCGAGACAGCCAGGTTAGTCATAGATTTGTGGCTTTAAACATGAATCTAGTACACTTAAAATGCAGAAGTTTGTTCATGTGACTTGAGATTTCTAAAATCTTATGAAATTTTGCATAAATATAAATTTAGATAACATAACGCTGCATGAAAATATGGAATTAATGAAAATTTTGATCTGATAGATAGATCTGAGAATTTCAACATTTTAAATCGCTAAGTTCCAATCATTCAGAACTTTCCGAATTGACTGTTCTAAGTTAATAACTTATTATTTCTAAACTTGCAACTGACTAAATTTGTTTTATCATTTCTTCTGAAATAAATTATTATTTGAACAAAATTTTAATGACAAAATAATGAAGAAGAAATGCATAAAAGCCAAGTTAAGTTCGTCCAGTCAATAGCCAAATGGACAAGCATACTGGACTCCGGTATTGGTCATTTGTGTTTTCTGGGAACAGAATGAATTCGGCTGGAACATTCGTAATTGGGTGGAAGGAAAATTCGCATCTTTCTTCTTATATGCGAAATGAAAGTGCGCTAGTTCCTTAAGAAACCAAAGAGAATACACCAAGATGAGCACACCCGAAAACATTCAAATAGAAAGAAAACTTTAAATTAAAAATCTGATGCGGACACCACATGACTTCCTTATACAGAATATTAAATTATACTCATTTTTTGCTGCATTTCATTTAAACTTGTTTCCTCGAATTTCATTAGAGATAGATTTCTCATTCAATTAATTTACTTCTCTCTTCACGGCAAGAGAAAATACCTAAAAATCATCAAAACACCTTCATTAAAAATTGAAATATATAGAAAAACATAAAAAGTCAAATATAGTTAAAACAATTTTAAAAACAATTTTTACAGTTAAAATTAGAGTTTCTACACAAAACAAGCAATTCGGCCAGCAGGTGAGAATGCAGATTTTTCGGTGCGCAAAACTAAAAGTTTTCCCTTGTTCCTACTCGGCAAAAAGACACTGAAGGTGCAGAAACTGAATTCACTATTCTGCTAAGTTGCAAATGTAAAAACATATGGCTGCTATGGTAACAAAAATTAGGCTTAGCCGCAATTAAACAATTTTAAATTGTTGGCAATTCTATAACTATTGATGCAGATTAACTAAAAGCGTTAAAACCTTAACCGGGAGATAAAAACAACATATTTCAATCATTTTTAAAGCAAAAAATGCACAATTTACCAACATATAAAAATAGAAAACTGAGCTAATTAACAAAGTGTATGTATATATATATACTTTTGGTGCGGCCGATTGCAGCCAAAAGCAGAGGTACACAACTACATTTTATAGCAGTCCTATATACAAAATATCAGCGATCTCAGTCTACTCGCTTTTGAGTTATGCGAGATACATTCATACGTACGTACATACAAAGACCACGAAAATGTTTCTTCTGAATTAAATGTTTCTTCTGAATTTTAAATCAGTTTTATAAATTGGTTTGGGAAAAAAAGGGTCTTTTATTCTGTCCTTACGTACGCAAAAATATCGTTAAATTGCATTTGATTGCGGTCAAGATGGATATTTTCGATGAAATATGATACCCGGATTTTTCGTGATTACGATACTTTCTTTACTTCGTACAAGGAAGTAAAAAAGATACCAGAAACCATATAATTAAAGATAAAAAGAGCTACTAAATAACATCTACTATCAGTCTATAAACATAGCAAAAATCTATCAACTGGAATTGATAAAAATGCACTTAAAAAGGATTAAAAATGCCTGCATATTTACTATTTGTGTTGTCCAATGTATGTCAAAACTTTATTGCTTTAGTTCTCTCTCCAGTTAATAATTAATTTCGATATAAAAGGGACTACACGTATTCCATATACTAAATAACTGTATATTTTAAAACAAATTCATCCTAAAATATTGACAAATTTTGTTTTCATTGTATATCTACTCTAAAAATGATAAAGCCCTAGAATCTAAGTGGCTTGACTCCACGAAATCTCTGTTTTATAAGGTTTCTTTCTGTCGCTAGGTTATCTGCGTCGAAAATCAGCTTCCATAATTTTGAACCCAAGAAATGTGTACAAATGCAGTTTGATGGCTATTTTCCTTTCATTTATAATATTATTTTAATTCTGACCAGATCTCTAAATTGAATAATACACATTAGATGAAAAATGAAATCATATACAGAAAATTATTCAGCACATCCTCATCATTCCTCTTCTTGTATCTTGTTTTAATTCTTCTTTAAATGCTTGTATAATATTTGCTTTCTTAGTCTATACTCTAAAATGAAAGCTCTTCCTTTCTTCAGATGAACAGCTGTATTGTTTTGTGCTTTAAGATTTTCCTTTATGAGAATAGTGAGGTTTGTAAATTGATTATTTATCCAGTTATTTATGTGATGATAAGCAAAACACCCTGTTTCAAAATGAATAAAAATTTAAAAGATGCGCATTTTGAATATACATAGCCTTAAAATGTTTAAATAATGCAATCTGGAACTTAAACTGTCTAATGACTTTAAAAAGTATCTCTGTAATGTTAAATTATAAAACTTTAATGTGGTCTTGGAAGCAATCATAAATCAATAAAAATAAACCGATGAATCTGATACAAATTGTTTTCAAATGCTTTATTTTTAGACTGGTATTTCCTGCTTTGTTTTGTATGAGTTTATTAAGTCGTCCGTCTCAGAAATATTGACCTGATGCTTTTACATTCATACATACAAGAAGAAAATACTGTTTCGGGCTTAAAAACCAGTAGTCGAGTTCTAATTATTAGAAATAAATGAAACATTAGATTTCGTTTAACAGATTCTAAAGCAACGATGAAATGTCATATTAACTGCTGCTTACTTACAAAATGTAATGCAATAATATTAGTATCGAGAATAAAGAAATGTATGTATATCATAAATGGAATCTGTCAGCTCGATCACTTCCCTAAGAATAAAGAACCCCGGAGAGCTTCGTAAGTGATTAATGCTTTTCATAACATAAATAAGCAAAATATGTACTTTGATAAAGCATTGCATGTATCTTGCTAAAGTATTAAACATCATCTGAGGCAAGCATTTTTACAGGAAACCAAAATAGTCCCGAACTTTGTGTAGCCAACTTGGGAGGGTCTCACTCTATTTATAATAATTATAACAAATCAATTAATTATTTTTTAAGAAACAAACTTGGAAATTAGCATCTTGTAATAACTATAGTGTTTTTACTGAAAACACCGTATTTGTAGCTTTAAATTCACCTGTATTTATATAATTTTTATAACATTTCAGGAATGAGAAATAATGTAAAATATCATTATACTTGCTAAGAGAATGTTTATTTTAAAAGAAAGAGAAATTTTGTTATGACCAAGCAATTATGGTATCATACGAGAGAGTTACTAGAACATGATTGAAATTATATTAGTTTTTGCAATATGACTTTAAAAAGTTACAGGTCATTCCCTAGAAAGAGTACATATAATTTCAGATTCATAAAATTTCACCATTGAAATAATAACAAAATAACTTACCTTGAGAATTCTCATAGGCGCAAATGTATTCCGACGTCATAAACTGATTTGTGAGAGCTGTTTTTCCAACATCAGGTGGTCCGATTACTAAGACCCTGTGTCTATTAACTCTTGGATTCTCCGTTGAACCACTGGCACCAGCTACAGCAGCTTCAGCTTGAATTGCATCTGCTTCATTGGATGATTCTCGCCGACCACTTGGAGTAACAGCAGTAGGATAATTAATGCTTGAATCATCTTTAGGCTGTCCTGGTGCTAAAGGTAATTGTCCACTGCCTCCTATGGAAGCCACACTATGCGAAGACCTTGATTTAGATCTAAAGGAATCTCCACGGTTAACTAAGCCTTTACTTGTAACAGCGAAATTCCTCAACCTCATGTAGTCTGATTCGTCACCTGGTAAGGGTAGAGACTGATTCGATGCAAGTCGTTGACCATTAAAACTATCTGAAGGAAGAGTCATATCATTGGGGATGCTGGCTATTCGCTGCCTGAATCGATGGGTTGGATCAACCGATTGAGGTCTTCGGGCCGTTCGCATGGACTGGGACCTGCTTACCCCGCTGCCGGCCAAGTAGGCAGGGTCCCTGAGTTTATGTCCATTTTGCTTGGCAATTCTGGAGTTGGATGGGCTGCGATGGTGCGCAGGTGACTGCATGGCGCGGCGACTGGATCTTGTCTTGCTCCGACTGCCGTGCCTTCCTACCACGTTTATAACTTCAGGAGAGCGATCCCCATCCCCCTCCACTGTCAAAATGATGCCTGGCGTGGGGCCCGATCGGGGAGAAACGGGCGGCGTGCTGGCTCCCGCTACTTCTTCAAAGACATTGTTGTCACCGTCAGTAATCTCTCTAGGAAAACCGTGATGGGACGGGCTGGGTGCCAAATTTAGTACGTCTTGATCGGTTAGCATCTTGATGAGTTTAGCAGGGGTATGTTTATTTTAGTACCTGTATCTATCTTTAGGCTGACAAGTGTCACTGATCTTTCACTCACAGTTATATGCCAGATGCCTCTTCACGCATGGAGAGCGACAAAAGTAAACAATAGTTTCTGCTCGCTGGATATGCAACACTTTGACACAGATCTCTGCATTCAAAATGTGTGCCACGCAAATATGTTTTCCAAACAAAGTTTTAGAGAGTGAATAAGAATGCGCGTAAATTTATTTTCATAAAAGGAAACATAACTCACAGTATTTGTAGAAATTTTTCTAGTAGCACTTTTGATCCAACAATTATAGATTAAAAGTTAAGGTGAATAACATATACTTTAAGGGGGGGAATTCTGATTTTTTTATGATTCTATAATCAAATTATTGTTCTAGTATTTCATAAAATGCTTCTTAATGCCTAATGTTGACATAATATTAGATTTGATTGAAATAATTATTCTCAAAAATATAAAATAATGAGTGCTTTCTCTGCAGTATTAGTATTTGTTTTTCTGTCATACTTTCGCTAGATATCTCGTTTAACCAGCACACACAAAAATATTGATCGAAAAGAATTCAAATATTATACAGTCAATAAACACTAGCTACTTTTATGACTTCTTCACTTCGCTTCAAAACACACTTTACCTGCAAAAAAAAAAAAAAAAAAAAAAAAAAAAACAGAGTTACTTAATTGAGGTGTTTTAATTATAATTATGCATTTCCATAATTAAAGATCTTGCATATGATAATAGGGCATAAAAGAGGAAAAGATCAACCATAGATGTACATTAATCTCAAAATATACTAAGCACAATATCAGTTTCAATAATCAGAATCTGCATATCGAATTTTTTTTTAAATTAGAGCCTCTAAAAGACCTATTTAAGCATTTTATTTACTCTTTTATTTTTTTACTTTATTTTTCTGAAAAAGTGTCCTTCGCTTTACGAAAGTTCAATTACTATAAAACACTTTTATAAAAGATCTAACTTGATTCACGTAGAAATTTGAAGATAATTTTCGTTTTTAATAAAAACCACGAAAAGGAATAAAGGCCGTTCAACGTTTCGTTTTATGCTAGGATTGCGGGGAAAAAACTTTAATTGAGAAAAGAACGCAGATTTAAAAGTTTCTAGAATGTTTTGAATGAGGATAAAAATATGTACGATCAAGAAAAATGCGTAAACACAATAGTCAAATGTGTAATTCGATTATAAGAAATCTATCGTGTAACGGTATTTTAAGGACTTAAGGAATTTGGTGGCCACGAAACTTACGCTAAAGAATTAATAGATGATTCTAATCATGTACATATTGAACATCTCTCCAGCAATCCCTGCTATTGAATCTCTGTTATAGTTTTTAAATGCAGCATCATCGTCCTTTGCCCATTTAGCGAGCTCGTTATGTTTGTGATTTTGGAAGATGAAATGGCAAAGCATGTAGTACAGTGTTTATATATGCAAAATATATGGGTATTATTTTTGCTTTATATGATCAAATTTTTATGTGCTACTTAGTTGGATAAGATGCGTTTTAAGAAGGGCTGGGCATATAAAAATGTTTTTTCTTGTATATAAATAAATAGTAACTGTATCTTTCTTTTACATCATTTCAGCTTCTGAAAAGTTGCACAGGAACACCCCAGTTTCATAAAATGGAGGAAAATTTATTCCACATAGTATGCTTATACAATAATGTAGTAATCAAGAAATAATATACTAAAGTGATTTATAATATTTAATTACATATATAATATTCAGTTATACATAATATTTAATTATATATACATATATATAATATTATGTTATATATAATATTTAATTATATATTTAAATATAATATTCAGTTATATATAATATTCAATTATATTTAAATATATATTCAGTTATATAATATTCAATTATATATACAAGTATATATTATAATAATGCATCACTACCAAAAATACATAGCATTATGTGTATCTTTAGCTATATGTATAATGTTATATATTCTTTACAGTTCTTATGCTAAATTTCCATCAGTGACTGGATACTTTAGCCATCTCATCACCGAGAACATCGGAGTGCGACTATCGCAGTGTTATTAACGAAAGACGTAGCATATACATCACTCTCCCTCTCCTTTCTTATCACCAGCCCCTCCAGATGACGTTCATCTCAATAGCATTTTGCATGCTCCCTTGCCGCACATATGTACACTGCTCAAAAAAAAAAAAAAAAAAAAATGGGACAGTGCTATATCTCCCGTTCTACTGGGCCGATTGACAAAATTCAAATTGCATTCTTTATGTCTCGAAAGCGCGACTTAGGATATATATTAGATTTATATATAGCACTATTCTAACATAGGTATTTTGACACAAATCGGACTTTTTCTGAAATAACATACCAATTTTTTACCATATTTCGATTCTACGACTCAAATTACGCCTAAATATGAAATTTTGTAAAATGTGGAGCGAAATTTACGGAGAAATTCACAAATTTATGTTGGCACTTTTTGTTCAGTTTGCGCCAAGAATAGTTCACTTGGCGAACGTCTTAATATATGGCAACCTTGTTTCCTTTCCCGTGAGAGGAAAAAAAAGTCACCGTCATTCTTTTTTCCAAATAATATTCTTTATATATTTTTTATTATAACTGTTATTATTTTAAGTAATTTTTTCTTTTTCGAATTTCATTTTAATTGTTTAAGTTGCATTTTTTTCTTCGAATAACTGTTTTAAAAATTTCTATTTACCTATCAAACTGCGTCAATAAACGTGGCAGCGTTTATTTTGTTTTTCAATAGTTTTCTTTATATATATTTATTTGTCATAGTTATTATTTTAGGAAATTTTTAAATTTTATACTTTTATTTTAATTGTTTGTGTTGCATTGTCTCTTCAGATAATGTGTTTAAATTTTCTATTTATTCCTTCGAACTGAGCATTTTAAATATATTTATTAAATAATAATTTTCCAGAATTTGATTTTATTTATTTGAATTGCGTTTCTTTCCGAAGAATATTTTGTAACCCAGACTATGATGCATTTGAAAAACTGCATATATTAAAAGAGAAATTACAATAAGCACAGTTAACGTTCAAAGAAAAGAAATTTCAATTTTACTTAATATTCTTCTCTTTTTTCATAGTTCCAACTTTTTAATTGTATTTTGACAATCATTTTAAATAGTTACGCCTTTTTTAAAAGAAATCAAGAAAGAAAAAGTTTTTAAAGTTTTAAGGAAAAAAACGTTAGGTTCCACATAAAATAAAAAAATTTGAAAAAAATATTAAGATAGAATGATTTACGCAAAAATTTAAATTTTCTTTTTCTTCACCAGGCCTCTACTTATTCTCTGCTCTTTTTCTTTAGGCATTCTGCAAGTATATTAAAAAGTATCCAAACTTTCGAAATAACCTTGTATTCTTGAAATCATTTTTAAATAAAGTTACCGCCTTCCATTTCACAAACGGCCCGGAGGTAGGAAAGAATGAACACTGGTTCACTCCGGGGGGAAATCCCGGAAAGGGCTGGTTAATGGGCCGTTTCAAAGGTGTAGGGGAGAAAGTTCATCACGAAGCAAAAATTAAAAATTTTGAAGGTAAGAAAAAAAAAACAAAAAGAGGGTTTATTTAATTAAAATACAAAAAAAGTTAAAACTCAAGGAAAAAAAAAAAAAAAAGAAAAGAAACTCACACTGGAAAACTCCTGAATCTTCAAAAAATCGACTAAAAATCTGGGATTCTATTCTTATCTATAAAAATTAATAAAAACATATAAAAAATCCAAAGCTCAACTTGAATCTTTCTTAAACACAAGCTCAATTGATGGTATTTGGTGGTGGTGTACACGTCCAATGTTTCTCTTTGAACACCTAATTCTTTGAAGTATCCTGAAGGTATATTCAAAGCGTCCAACTTTTTGAAATCATCTGGTAGGCTGAAATTTCCCTGCAAATTTTTGCTTACTTTTCTCCCTTTTCTTCTTTTTCTACTTTCAGTCTCACCAAAAATTAAGATTTTTCGATTCCTAGACTTCCATAAATCTTGCATTCTTGTCAATTTTTTTAAAATATCAATTACATCAACTGCGTTTCAGCTGATGACAGCTTTTTCATTTCTAGACATTTTAACTATAAACAAAGTATAGAGCAAAGTCCAAAGCATAAATATTTTAATTAAAAGGATTTTTGCTAAATGACAAAGAAATAAAAACAGTCCGGCAGGGTTTATTCTGTACCACCGAGTGACCGATTCTTATATCGGCTGAAACAATCTAAATCATATTAAAAGACCATGTTTTTTATACAATCTATAACGCGAGAGAAAAATTAGCTTTTTAAAACATTCTTTCTAAAGCGGATTAATATAAAATATTATATTTAAAAATATATATATTTTTAAAGCTGGGACTTGAACCAAACTGTTAGACTTTTAAAGTTTAATTTACATGGTGGTTATAATTAAAATTCTAATTTGAAATGGTCGTAAAAGGAAAACTACTGGACCAAATGTTATCAAACTTGGGAATCGTGAAAGGAGGTTATGGGAATTTATTTTTCCGCGGGAAAAAAAAAAAAGAGTTCAAAAAACTCACCACCAGTGGAAAAATGGCGCTGTATACAATATTGATAAATGAAATAAGACATGAAAACATCTGTTTAAAATGTGTTTAATAGTTTCCGAAACGTGTTACAAAGCATGTTCAATGTAGCGTCCAGCATTTTCCGAGAGCAAGTTAAATCCTGTTACTGCATTCTTAACAGCAGTTCTTAGCATATCAGGAGGAATGTTACGGACATTTCTCATTTCTGCCGAATTGTTTAGAATATCACCATAAACAGTGCTTTTGAGAAAACCCCATAGCTAAAACTCACAGAGGTTGAGGACTGGTGGGAAGAGGGGAAGTGTTGGCCTATAAGACGTTCATTCGTGAAATGTTGCCTAAGTAACTGTGCGACACACGTCAGGTGGGGCCCAGCCCTGCATAAAAATCGTAGTATCTAAAATGCCATGTTACTGCAGTTAATGTATCACGAAACATTTTAACATTGACTCTAAGTGAGCTGCAATCACAGTGGTCCAGCTGTCGATTGCTCTTCAGAGAAAAATGGTTCGGTTATAACAGTAGCTGTCATTCAACACTAAACGGTGTGGAATGACTGCTATGCAATCGAATGCAGTAGGAGAATGCAATGGAACTAGATATATAACATTACGGATTTCTTCGGCCCAAATCGATTAAAAGCGTTTTGAATCAGTATCTTTATGTTTTAGGGCCAAATTCAGGCTTCAAAAATTACAAATTAGCGATCTGTAAGAAAATGATTTCCAGATTGTACGGACTTGTGCGAGTGATTTGCGATCTCACATTTTCTAATCGCTAATTCGTGGTTTTCACGGACGAATTTCTCACTTACACGGATGGCGCACTCAACGTTTATCGAATTTAACGCCTTTAAATGGTAATTTGCTTACTTTAAAGTTTCTTAAGGGTATACAACATATTAAACCCGTGTAACAAAAGGTTAAGTTGTAAGGATCTTAAGTTTTACTAACGTTTATTTTATTTTAAATCTTTACTATCACTTCTTATTTTCTACTTCCGGCCAGAATTATAAACGTGAAGGTTTTTATGCAAAGTTTGTCTGGCGAACGCCAAGTATTTAAGTG